CAACATCGCTTTGTGCTCGCAAAAAAATAATATTCCCCTCATTCTCTTCATTCTAAATAAGATTAATAAAATAACAATATAGAATAATATAAGCAGTCTATTTACATTGATATTTTAAATAGTAATACTTAAAGAAACCAAATTTCAGGCTTCAAGTTTATTATGTGTCTCTGTCAAGTTTATTATTTTTTTTTTTTCTTTTTCCTTTTTTTTTAATCTATAAGTTTAACTGTGAAAAATAATAATTATTTAATATTATTAGACAGCTCACGTGACTTAGAGTTTACCTTTAATTGCTGTTGTATTTGAATTGACACTTGCACTGCCTCGAGACGCTCACTCTGTTTAGATGTAGTAAAAAATGTAATAAGACGGTTCATCTGAGTAACTAGTATTTGGAGGCAGAAGCCTTTTCTGAACAATAAGATTCAATATATGGACAGAACATAAAATTCATTTTATACCAAGTTTATTGCATGCCAACTTCATGTTTGTCCCACTATTCAATGTAATTGAGAATACTTTGTTTTTTATATTTCAATGTTTGAGAACTTCTTTAATATAATTCGCAATTGCATTAGCAGTATGTGGATACTGAAAAAGAGAAACTGCCAAAACAGCCTCATTTAGCTCAAAACTTTCATTAATCCATGTTGCTGTAATATCCATATAACCTTTACGTGAATACGATATCTACAAGTCTGCTATTAATAATATAGTTTCAGCTAGATATAAATCATTCTTTAGGTGTATGCTGATCTGCTCGAATCTCTCATCAATTAGACTTTTAATTTTTTCTCTACTTGGCACAGTCTACCGTGAATCTACAATTTTTGCAAATCGCTTAAATATTTTTTCTTCCGTAAAAAAAAAGAAAGATTTTGGGAGACAATAACCTCAGTAATAGCCTTATCATGAATGGCTTATTTAGTTGTATTGTATGGTTTTGAAGAAAAAATTTCAAATGCTTTTGTAATTGTTTGCTAGTTTTTTGACTTAAATAAAATAAAATAAAGAATAAAATAAATGAAAATAAAATAAATAAATAAAAAAATAAATTTTATAAATAAAATAAAATAAAAATAAATATAAATTAGAAGATTTAAATTACATAGTGAAAAAAACTTACTTGCCGCCCACTATTTTTAGAATATCTATGCAGAAATTTTAGGTGTCTCCATAGTGATGTCATCAAGTCGCCAGTTCTTACTTTCGTATTACAGGGCTTTTTATTTACCAATTCAATATTACACACACCATGTCAAACATTATCAATATATATTTCTTCAAACTATTTCTAAACAGGGCTACAAAGTAAAGATCCACTATATTTAAATATTTTTGTATTTATGGCATTACTTGATTGTTTAATTGTTCAAGTTCAAGGGATTCATCTGATACATTAGCTTCTGTATACTCAGTCTCATTATTATGTTTATTATTTTTTGTACGTTTTTTTTTCTTTGTATATATTAGATCAAATATGTTTTTTGTCCCTGATGCTGTTTTTAGCTCATAGTTACGAAAAGGATCAGAAGGTTGTCTTAGTAATTGGGAATGTGAAACTGATACACTTTTTTTTTGTTTGAATCATTCTCATGTTAATTAGTTGATGGTTCTATGTAATTGCAATCAGTAGGCACTATTTCTTCATTTGAGCTTAACTCTGACATATATTTGTTAACTTCACCAACATATAGACTTTTTTCCTGCCAACTTATTGTTGATATAGCTACCACACAATTTGAGCTTGAACTTACTGCGAATTTATTTTCATAATTTGCAGTTTCTAACGTGCTATTCATTTTTCTAAGATTTTTTTTTTTTAACTATTTTGGTAAGAATATTTGTTAAAGGAGTATCTACTGTTAAAACTTTAATATTGAAAAAATTAAAGATTGTTTTACTTATTTAGTATATGCTAGCATTAAGATGGTTGATTGATTTGCTAATTTAGTACAATAATGTAGTCTTGAATTTAAAGTTCTTCTATTCCAGATATTGAATCAAGATTTTCAATTCGTTCTAAGAAAAAAAAACTAGTTTTAGAACTTTAAATCATATTCAATCTCTCTATAAAATTTGCCAACAAACTTAATATAAACTTTAATATATGTATCAAGAATGTAACTATTTATAAATGCTTATTAATTAACCAAACAAATAATTTATAGATACTTTCTTGATGTATAATTTAAAGTTGGCAAATATTTAAAACGTGATCTTTTTAAATGTTTTGACCCATAATATGTATTAAGTGAAATAGGGATAGTACAAAAGTTCAAAAGTTTGACTACTTATGACTAATTAAGCAACAATGATATCCTAATTTGTATCTAAACTTTTGTGCCAACAAAAGACTAATTTCTCTTGTGAATTTATGGGTATTGTGATTTCATGTTTTTTCACTTTTAATTTTTTTACAGACCGCCAAATTTTTGCGCCATCATTATTTCACTCTATAACAGTTGATTTAATTCAAAAGTACCAGTATATATATCACTAAAGCTGATGATTCTTGGGTCATTGTTTTGAACATTCATTAAGCATTTATTTCAATTAGGTAGTGGTGCAATAAAAGACCGTGAAGTGCGTGAAAGGATGAAATAAGGATTAGGAAATGAGAGCAACAAATAATTGTGAAAAGTGCAATAAAAAAAGGATAATAAAAGATTGTGGAGTGTGTAATAAAGCAATATCAATATATAACAGACAAGTTCAGTATGTGTTTTAATTGATCAAAAGGAAGGGCAGTCTGAACTTGCTTATCAGGTTCTCTCACTACTAGCTTCTGCTGCTGTGAAATGTTGTTTGTTCAATTTCAACAAAGATTGTAATGTTTGAACAATAATCAGATAAAAACTTGTAACTATAGAATTTAGAGAAAATTTAAAGATAGTGGTTGATGATGAACTTGTGAAAAAATAAATTATATTATTACATTGTATTGCTTCTAATCTCCAAAAGTTTATTTCTAAAAATTTATTTAATAATATTTATATAGAAGTAGATAATTTATATATATGCATTGCAGGCTGTAGACTTCCAATATCAATGATATAGTATTAAATGCAATAAGAGTACTTGACTAATAGAGCAAATTATATATTTGAAAAACAAATTAAATTAGTCAAGATATATTTCTTACAACTTATAAATTTTTACATAAAATGATAATATTTGTAATAAACTTGATTTTTTTAAAAATTTTTTTAAAGACTAAGGCTTTAACCCTATTGTAATATATATATATATATATAATTGAGTATGTTCAATTAGTATATTGAAAATATATACAAGGTTCTAATTTGGATAATCATGTAATAGCCTAGACAACTACTCTAGAAATATATTTCTTTGTTTAATAGATGCTGATTGCACTTTGGTTTTAGCTCCAATTCATATCGATTTAGCATATGTAATAAAGTTTTGCTAATAAAGATAAGAACTGGACAGAAGATAAAAGAAGCAACTGAATTTGGTACGTACATATATACGTACATATCTTGTATATATTTTCAGTATACGTTTAATTATATATCTGATCAAACTATATTCAATCAAATGCAGATTATCGATTATAGAGTTTTGACTGATTATAGAATTTTGACCAATTATAGAATTTTGACCGATTATAGAGTTTTGATCGATCATAGATCTTGATCAGTTATAATCGAACAAAATTTTAGAATCAGTCATGATCATTTTGACCGATTGCTCAATCATACTAATTTCGATCTTCATCTTTATATACATCTTTATATCTTCATGTATATCTTTTAAATTCATCTTTGTTAATTCAGTTATGATAGATTTTTTCTAGAACTTTCTGTTGTTCTTTTGCTTCACGTGACTTGTTGTTTTCTGACTACTATTGTTTGTTGTTGTTGTTTGCTGTGGTTGTTTACTATTTTGGTTTGCTTTCATCACATAGTTTTTGTTATATTTTTCTTGTTTATTTTCTATTATATATTGTAATTTTTGTATTACCAAAACAGATCTGCAATTCAGGGTCAAGACCGATTCCCTCAAAGTTTGCAAAGTGCAAAAAAATATTGACAATTTTTCATGACTTCTTCTATTTTTTTGCCACTTCTGTTTTTCTTACTCAAGTCTCTTAAGAGACTAAGTATTTCTTGTTGTTCTTTTCTTCTTTATTTAGAAGCCTGAGAGCAGTTTCTTAGTGACTTTTGTATGTCTTTTAAGTTTTTTATTTAATTTTTGTTTTTGGAAATTTGTGTTTTGATGATTAGCAGAAAGAGTTGCCTATATATAGAATACTTAGAAAGTTTAATCATTATTTTAACTTTTTATTTTTTATTTTTTTTTTTGGTATTAAGGTGACCTCTTGATCGGTTCTTTTATTTAGTTATTGATTAACTTTACTATATGCTAAGCCTCTCTCAATGCCCGTACAGTATATATATTTGGAGAGTACATACTAGCCACATATATAACTTTTGATTGTCTATTTAAGTAGTCTGCTTATTACTAAGTTCTACACTAGATACTATACCTGCAACCCAACTAGGGAGTTATCTATTTAAACTCTCTGTATTTTATGTAGATCAACCTTTTGTATAACCAAATTAGAGTATATCCCTTAAGAACCCTAACTTAGGACTTTAAAGCAGGCTCAACCAGTGAGCCTTTTGTCCTCGAAGTAAACCTGCTAGAGCTTTCTGTACTCACAATCCAGCTAACCTAGACTTTAGTAACTTATGCCTGAGTTCAAGAACAAATACTTGCGAGCCAAGACCGCTACTGTTACCTACTTCTGCCCTTGTAGAGTTCAACCAGACCCCAGTATATACCTTACAGACAATCACCAGTTTTAATCTCAACAATTCCAAACTACCAATCCAGATGGCCTGGAAGGGCTGTAACCTGCTCCTGGTCTTCACAGTTGGGTCCTTTTCTTCTAGTTACTCCTCTGGTAGCCTGGTTGGTGGAGTGCCTTGCAAATACTTCAGTTCTATTCAGTTTTGCTAGTTCTCCCAATGATGATCCTTCAGTAGTACCGTCAAAGATCTGTGCTACCTCTCTACTCGGGTCTTGCTAAGCATATTCCATTGTCCTTCTCGGTTCTCTGGGTTTACAACAATCTGAAAGCTTATTCATATAACTCATATATCATACAAATATCTTATGATCTCCCAATCCTGTTAGTGCTACCAGAATTACAGAGATCTTGTTCTAACCATTAATTAGACAACAGTAATGTCATATAGGTAGAATATTTCGAATTTCGTCGCCAATAGGTTTCGGACCCTACCTAGCCAACAAATCGCTTGGGAGTGTGACAACTTAACCACTTACTAAGTCACTACATCCTTATTTTAACTTTTTATTATTATTTTAACTTTAATAAAAAACTTAGAATAATTTTTACAACAAATACAAAACTTACAAAACCAACTATCAAATATACTTATAACCTTCTTTAAAAAATGTCTCAATGTAGATTTTCTTACCATTTATCTAAATATGTCTCATTAGTAAATGGCAGGACGCATAAATAAATAGTTGAGTACGTACTACTAGAGTGGACTGAAAAATGTGATGTGCACATATGTGCATATGTGTATATTTTTTCGTAGATCATATGTGAACATATACGCCACAGTATATAACGATAAGAATGGCTTTACGAAACCTTTAAAGATAATATTACAAGCGAAACTAATTTCAAATAGTTTC